AATGCCAAGAACCTACAACCAAGATTACTTTATCCAGCAAAGCTATCATTCAGAAGTGAAGGTCAGATAAAGAGCTTCACAGATAAGGAAAAGCTAAAGGAGTTCATCACCACCAAACCAGGATTATATGAAATGCTGAAAGGTATCCTTTAAGAAGAGGAAGAAGAAAAAAAAGGTAAAGATACAAATTATGAACAACAAAAACACATCTATCATTGAATCTAAAAATCAAGTGAATACATAATCTGATGAACAGAATAAACTGGTGAGTATAATAGAATCAGGGTCATAGAAAGTGAGTGGACTGACAATTCTCGGGGGGAAAGGTGTTTGGGGGGTATGGGAAGAGACTGGACAAAAATCATACACCTATGGATGAGGACAGTGGGGAGTGGGTAAGGGCAGAGGGTGGGGTGGGAACTGGGTGGAGGGGAGCTATGGGGGGAAAAAAGAGGAACAACCGTAATAATCTGAACAATAAAGATTTATTAAAAAATAAATAAAAAAAGAACTTAAGTAGAAAAAAGAAAAGGTCTCACCAGAATCTGTTTGCTGCAATTGCTCCCTAGTTCATTCTTTTTAGCTGTCATAACCTGCAAATCTATAGCCAGGCTCTCTGTTCTTTGCCAACATGAGAGCACAAAGGGAAAGCTCGGGGAAGGAGAGCTTTCATTAGAGTTGGGGAAGACTCTCCTGTTTTCTTTCCCCAGCTCCTCCATTTGGCGGCTTTCTTACTTGCTGTTTGCATGCCTCATCCTTTGGCCACATACTTCCTTCACCTCTCCAGATCTCCTGGCTGTTTCTAAACAGGCCTTCCACTTTGCCTGATGGGTACTCTTGATTTTTTTGAACTAAGCGTCTATATAAATTTGTAAAGTAACCTCCAATATTTTCTTACCCAAGAATCCCTTTTATTATTTTCCATACAGTTTCTTTGTTTTAAAAGATTACGTATATTAACCTACTTGCAGGTCATATTTTTATTCCCAAATTTAAAAAATCAAAGATATAAATGACTAAAAATTAGACAGACTAGGGAAGGGTTGCCTCTACCCAAGAATGATGAATGCCGGTGGCACTGTCTTTACATGGCGGAAAGGGAGTCAGGTGCAGTGTAACCCAGGGTTCTTCTGAGTGCTGGGACTTGACTATGTCTATAGATATCCAACATTCTTTGTGCACCTTTTCTGAGGAACAACCGTAATATCACTGTCTGATATTATTCACTTACTTGATACAGCAGGTCCTAGAATAATGTCACTTTGTTCCACATTATTTCATTATAATGTTGATAAGAAGAAGAAAAAATTGATTCCCAGCCAGGACCACTGTCTGTGTGGAAGTTGCACGCTCTCCCATGTCTGTATGGGTTTTTTTCAGGGCCTCAGAATCCTCCAACATTCAAAACATGTGCAGGTTAAGTGAACTGGCATTTCTAAAATGCCCCAGTCTAAGTGAGTGTGAGTGTGAATGGCCCTGTGAAGGAAGGATGTCCTGTCTGGGGTGTGTCCTGCCTAGAGCCCTCAGTTGCCCAGATAGACTCTGGCCCTGCACCCTTGAACTGGAATGAACAAATACAACAATAATCGCCTTACTTGTTTTCATTAATCATCCTTAAATATGTGTATAGCTCACATGTATTTCTGTGTTCAGTACTAGCAGTGTTTGGGTCTTTATTTAGAAGTTTGGTGATTTTTTTGTGTGACCAGAAATATGCTGTAGGAACTTAACTCTTCTTTATATCAATGGTAATATTGATTTCATTGCACATGTTTTACTAAAGTCACAGTTTCTCAGAGCTTATAGACCTTAACCTTGGACTTATTTACCATGCAAATATGGGCCACAGAGGTTTTAAGCTGAGTACAAAACCTTAATTTACAAAGAAATTGAGGAGGCAGATGTATAAGGAGGCCCAAGGTGAGGAAAGGTCATTTCTTTTTAACTCAATTCTAATTGTAATAACTCATCTCTTAGGATGTATTTACATAAT